TCGGTCTCATTATAGTCAAGTATAAGATCCTCCCTATCAATCTCCTATATATGTTGGCATTAATGAGTTCTCCCTGATCTTTATCGAGTTTTAAATTTTGTGGCAAATGAAATTTTGCAGGTTTTGTCTCAAGGTACACTGCATCAGATAACACATCCAAAGCATACTTTCTTTGATTAACTGATATTCCTTTTGCTGATCTTGCTATTTCCAACCCTAGAAAAAAACTTCAAAACCCCCAAGTCTTTCAGTTTGAATTGCTTATTCAACTATCTCTTGAATTGTTCAATATATGACAGATTATTGCCTCCTATGATAATATCATCCACATAAATGAGTAAGGCAATAAATAATCCATTTCCTTGTTTGCTAAACAAAGAGTAGTCAGATTTTGAATGTCTAAACCCCTGGGAAATAATGTATAAAGTGAACTTGGTGTTCCATTGTCTAGACGCCTATCTAAGTCCATAAATGGACTTGTTCAATCTGCAGACAAGTTAATCACCACACTCCCCCTGCTACTCATACCCCTTAGGCATCCATATGTAAACCTCCTCATCAAGGTCACCACGGAGGAAAGCGTTGTTTATGTCCAATTGATGGAGGTGCTAACACTTATGAGCAGCTACTGCTAGTAATGTCTTCACAGTTACTAGCTTAGCAATAGGCTAGAAAGTTTCTTCATAGTCAAGTCTAGCTTGTTACGTGAATCCTATAGCAAAAAGCCTAGCCTTCTTTCTTTCCTCAGTCCCATCAGAGTTGAGTTTTATTTTAAAAACCCACTTGCAGGCTACAAGCTTTTTATGTACTGGTAAAGAAATCACTCTCCCAGTGTTATTAGATTCCAAAACCTGATATTCAGCCTCCATATGCTTATACCATTCTGGACATTTAGCAGCATCTTCATATGATCTAGGATCAGATATAGTAGATAAGGCAAGTGAATACCTTTTGTGAGCAGGTGATAACCTGCTATAATCTAGAAATTCAGCAATAGGATACTGTTTGCCAGCCAAGTGATCTTTCTCCACAGAGTTAGATTGGAAAGTAGGCACTTGAGATGCAAGACCGTAGTGATAATCTTGAAGATAGGCTGGACCTCTTTTAGATCAATTTGATTATCTGATAGGAACTACAAGAGTGATAATGGGTGAAGGAATGGAATCATGACTATCGATTTGAGGGGAATCAGGGGAATTTGGAGTGGAATTAACAGAAGAGTTAATATCAGTTGAATTGCCATTATCAAAATTTTGAACCAATACATCAGATGATGAAGAATCATTACTCTGTGCTGGAAAAAGGATGAATTAGAGGGCAAAGCGACATCAGATTTGGACAATGAAGTAAGGAATTTAGGATGATAAAATGGAAATATAGTCTCATGAAATTCAACATCCCTAGAAGTAAAATGGTATTAATTAGCAGATTATATAACTTGAAGGCTTTCATGCCATAAGGATAGCCAAGAAAGATGCAAGAAATGGCTCCAGGGTCGAATTTGGTACGGTTTCTTTTGATACTTGAAGCATTGCAGAGGCATCCAAATACCTTGAGATGTGAATATGATGGTGCTGTTTGATATAGCATCTCATAAGGTGACTTATTTTCAAGAATCAAGGTAGGTATTCTGTTTATTAAATATGTAGCAACAAGGATAGTTTCTCTCCAGAATTTATGAGGTAAGTTTGCCTGGAATTTGATGGCTCTGGCAACATTTAACAGATGCTGATACTCTCTCTCTACTGCCCCATTTTGGTGAGGTGTTTCAACACAACTCAGTTGATGGATAATGCCATCAGATTGAAAAAAGTCATTCATATGAAATTCAGATCAATTGTCAGATCTGAGAATCTTTATTTTGCAGGTAAAATGAGTAAGAAGCATTTGATAGAAAGAATGAATTATAGGTCTGGTTTGAGACTTATCCCTTATTAAGTAGGTTCAAGTCATTCTAGTATGATCATCAACAATGGTTAAGAAAAATGTAGAGCCATCCAATGAAGGAACTGAGTAAGGTCCCCATATGTCGCAATGGATAATATCAAAGCCTTTAAGGGCTCTATTTTCACTTCTTGGGAAAGATAATCTCTGCTGTTTGGCTATAGGACATACTGTACAATGTAAGTGCTTATTGAAATTGATATAAGGAACTAGATTATGCAAGACATGTAGCTTTGAGATAAGAAGGTGTCCCATATGACAATGCCATAGATCAATGTCAGAATTCATATTGATATCACTTATGGAATTACAAGAAAATTGCCTAGAGTTATTACACTTTCATCTAAGATCAGAATTCCAAATGGAACTAGGAAAAACAGGAAAGCTATTTTTAGAGATATCGGTATGTTGAGTTTCAGATTTTTCATAACTGAATGAAAGTTTGTCATGAATTTTCTAATTAGGAATTTCCAATCATTTTCCATTTCAAAAGATCCTGGACAAAGCAATATTGATGCAAAAATATCAGAAAACAACTATGCCTGAGAGTCAATTTGCTGACTGAAATCAAATTGAATGTGAAACAAGGCACCACCAATACTTCAATTAAAACTAATGTATCAGATAACCTGACCCACCAACATGTGTAGCCTAAATAGTTTCACCATTAGGCAGGTTAACGGCAACTTTAACTTTATGAGATATAGAAGTTAAATGCCAAGTAGAACATACCATATGTTCTGAAGCAACAGTATCCATAATCCATTTTGTTGCACCAATTTTAATGTTAGGACGAAAGTAATTACTTGAAAATGCAAAAGAATCTGGTACAGAATAGCCAGGCCTTGATGTATCCTGAGGCTGTGACTGAGTTTGTACTCGAGGAACATTAGTTATTTGCCCTTTCAATTGAGGCATCAGCATTGCTAGAACTTGTTTACACTGATCTTGAGTGATTGTGAGGTTTGAAAAAGACTTCATTACAGTTTGTGAACCACTATCAAAAGATTGTCCAACAACATTGGCTACAACATTTCTGCCTCTAGCAAATCGATGTCTAGGAGGATATCCAACAATTTTGAAACACTTTGCCTTAATATGTCCAGCCATACCACAGTGACTGCAAATAGGCTTATCATTTCTCTGATTCTGAATGAATCTAATATTCCTTTGACTTTCATTAGATCATTGTCCAACATTATTGGTAAACGTAGACGTCTCAAAACTCTGTTACCATTTTGTGATAACCTCATTTTGCCTTTCATCTGGCAAAATCAGTGCAAATACCTTATTCAAAGGCAGAAGATGATCCATTAACAAAATCTGACTCCTTACTCCAGAGTAATGTTCATCCAAGCCCATTAGGAATTGCATAACTTGATCTTCCTGCTTATAATCAGATCCACTAATGTTAGGCCTATAATTATCCAGTTCCTCCCACAATCCTATAAATTGATTGAAGTAAGAGTTAACTGAACCGTTCTCCTGTGAAATAGTAGAAATCTGCTTCTTCAACTCATAAATTCGAGTTCCATTACCCTGGCTATAACGATCCTTCAACTCAATCCATATCTCCCTAACTGAATCCTTGTACATCACACTAAAATATATAGCTCATTTGGAATGGAATTGATAATCCACGAAGATACCATGTGGTTGCATTTTCTCCAGGCGCTATGTAACTCATCATCAGACTCAGGCTCAGTGATCGTTCAATCAATAAATCCTTCTTTGTTTTTCCCGTTGAGAGCCATAACAATAGTGAGACTCCATGTCGCATAGTTATCCTCCGCAAGCACCACAGATATCAGCTGCATACCTGTGTTATCACCATAGTGCAGGTAGTATGGACTGTTCGGATCTGTAATCGATTGACCGTTGATTGAATTAGCTTCTTCTCTTATCAATTCTCCAACTGAAGATGCTTGAGACTCCATCGCAGCAGGCTTCAATTCTTTGATACCATGTAAAAATAATGGAGGGAGAAAGCTGAAGAAGAACAAATTGGAGGGAGAATTAGTTGCCCTAATTTCTATTTCAAACCGTGAAAATGTACAGTATATATAGAAAAGAAAATGAACCAAAATGACTAAAATGACCTCAACTATTTACATCATAATTTCCAATACTTGTCGAAAGTATGATCCATAAGGCGCCTATGTCATGTCCGAGTAATTATAACTGGTGTATTTACCAGCAGCAAGTGCAGGCCGAGAGGCAAAGACGGTGTCATGTACTTCAAGGAACTGTTCGGCCATTTCAGGTGATGAAGCAACCCAAACTGGATATGAACCAAATTTAAGTTGCATTAATTCTTCATACTTTTGGGATACTAAATGGAGAGATTGATGTGGGATTGAAACAATACGTAGGTTTAGGTTGCCAATGATAGGCCACGGTTTAGGACCAGGTGGAATTAGTTTCTGTTTAGGGAGGCAATTTTGGATTATTTTTGAAATAATTTTTCTTTTTTACTTGTACCAAAATCAATTTGGTGACATGTGATTTTCACAATTAGTTTGTATCAATTATGCTGATTTTTATATATGCATTAATTCTGTCACATTCAATTTGTATCAATTTGTGCCACAATTATAACGTTTTCCTGTATAACCTTTAATTTTTAACTTTAATTAAGATTAAAATATGAATTTTAATTTCTACCTAACATGACTAAATAAAATAAGGGATAGCCTAATTTGTTTGACACTTATCTGACGTGGAATTCCAACCATTAAAACGTGCCACCAGTTTTCCAGATAGCTAATACAGGTGTATCTTTTTGTTGAAATATCACTACCTTTGCAAACTAGCTCCAACTATAAATAGCCTCGTCTCCCACCGATAGTCCACAATAAAAAATGGAGACTTCTTGGTTGGTTTCAGCCTTTGCATGGCTAGCTTTTTTAGTCATAATTATTTCAAATATACGTCGTCCCAAACAGAACCTTCCACCAGGCCCTAAACCATGGCCTATCATTGGCAACCTAAACCTACTTATTGGTTCAATCCCACATCAATCTCTCCATTTATTATCCCAAAAGTATGGAGAATTAATGCAACTTAAATTTGGTTCTTATCCAGTTTTGGTTGCTTCATCGCCTGAGATGGCCAAACAGATCCTTAAAACACATGATACAGTTTTTGCTTCTCGGCCTGCACTGGCTGCTGGTAGGTATACCAGTTATAATTTCTCAGACGTGATATGCGCGCCTTATGGATCATACTGGAGACAGGCTCGAAAGATTTATCTTACGGAGATATTTTGCTCTAAACGGCTCGATTCGTACGAACATATTCGCATCGAGGAAAGGAATAATTTTCTTTCTCGTCTTTATGCTCTTTCGCAAGTTCGAGTGAATGGTTTCGGTAAGTTCATCGCCATAGTAGTGAGATTAACGATTGGCTAAGTTTAAAAAGCCTTGTTTTTAAAACAAAATAATTTATTTCTTGTTTTTGATAATTGTAAACCTTGCTTAATTTCTTGTTTTTGATAATTGTTTATGCTCTCTCAGGGAAGGCAATTGTGCTGAGAGAACATTTATCTCGTTTTACTCTCACATCTATAACGAGGATGGTACTAAGCAACAAATACTTCAGTGAATCAAAATGTGATGATCAGGGTTCCATAATAACCCTAGATGAACTTCAAGGGTTGTTAGGCCAATGGTTTTTGCTTAATGGTGTGATCAATATTGGAGACTGGATACCCTGGTTAAGTTTCTTGGACTTGCAGGGATATGTTAAGCAAATGAAGGATTTGTACAAAAAAATCGACAGATTTCACGAATACGTTCTCGATGATCACAAGGCTAAAAGGGATGCATATGGCAAGGATTTTGTCCCTAAAGACATGGCAGATGTTTTGTTGCAGCTTTCTGAGGATCCTAATCTTGAGGTCAAACTCACAAGGGATTGTGTCAAGGGGTTAATGCAGGTAAATATAGAAGGGAAAATTGTATGATCTTTTCCAGTGAGAAATTCTTTAATAATTTTTCCACTTTTCCAAATTCTAACAGGACCTACTAACAGGTGGCACAGACACCTCATCAACCACAGTCGAATGGGCATTTCATGAAATTATTAAAAACCCACACATAATTGAGAAGGCAACTGACGAGCTTGATAGAGTTATTGGTAGAGAAAGATGGGTGGAAGAAAATGACTTCCTCAAATTGCCTTATATAGAAGCTATAATCAAAGAAACCCAAAGATTACATCCACTTGCTACGATGCTCGCGCCACATTTTGCCATTGAAGACTGTAATGTATCAGGTTAAGTCTAACTATATCGTCTAAGAATTTACTCTAATATGCATAGATAATCCCTATTTTCATCAAATTCAAACCGCTCTTCACTTTTTAACTGACCGTACAAGTTTCCAAAAAAAATTTGTCAACAGGTTACGATATCTCTAAAGGAACGACAGTCCTGATAAACGTATGGAGCATAGGAAGGAACCCCAAATATTGGGATGCACCGGAACAATTCTTGCCAGAAAGGTTTTTGGACAAGAAAATTGACACGTTGGGACAAAATTTTGCTCTGTTGCCATTCGGGTCAGGTCGTCGGATGTGTCCCGGGTACAATTTGGGACTTAAGATTATGCGTTCATCGTTGGCCAACTTGTTACATGGATTTAACTGGAAATTGCCTCAGAATATGAAGCCCAAAGATGTATGCTTAGAGGAGGTTTATGGATTGACCACACATCCGAAAGTGCCTCTTGAAATGATCATAGAACCTCGACTTCCGCTACACCTTTATTAAAGAAATTTCTGGTTCAATAACTCATGCTGTAAAATATAATATAATAAGAAATTTTAAGAATTTCACTTATTATACCGTTCGACTTTGTTTAATATTACATACATTATATTTTCTAAATATTTTCCATTTATAGTAATGAAATCCTAAAAAAATCTCGTCAAAATCATCAATTAATATTAATTACACGTTTTATGAGATCTATAACTTTTAAACCACACATTTCATCAATTTTTGTTAAAAATCTGATTTTAATCTCCATCAAATAGGGGCGTAGACTTTCTTGGCGGTCATGCTATCTAATTATGGTTACAAGATGTGCTTGGATCAGATTTTGATGCGTACGCTAGACTATTATTACACTTTAATATTACGTATTGATATTAATAAATATTTAAATCAAATTGGCATACATGCTAAACACGTGATTCACACTTGCATTAATCAACTTGAAATCAAATTGACAAATCACCCGCGAAATTCAAGTCGTAAAGTTAATTTGTTAAGAATAACTCACGTTCTCTTTAAAAATGATGATAAATCTTTTTTTTTATTTAATAAAAAACTTAAATCTAAAATTAACTTTAAACGGAGCGGATAGCGAGACATGGACCACGTTTTCCGTTCTCATCCCATACCCACTTCAGGGCAACAACTTCCACTCCGCCCCATCCCGTTTCATCTCGTCCCATTTACTCGATTAGGCGAGTAATCCCCCCATTTGAGGCTGGGACTTTCGAGTATCAAGTTGAATGGATTTTTTTGACATCCTTAAAGAGAGAACAAAAATCCACATATTAAGGAAGCCACTATTTTTATTATTCGTTCTTATATCTCTATCAATTTTTGAAAAAATTATATTACATTTTTAATTTTGAATTTACTTAAATAGGCATTAATAAAACAAAATGAAATATATCACTCTAAATTCATTCACTAATATTCATCATATTAAATGCTTTTAGACCTTTTATATTATTTTCTTTACGTTTAACTAAAATTCTAATATTAATAAAATATCTTCTTCAACTGAAGTCGAAAAAAACTATTGTCAATATTGAGGATAAATATATGGCATAATATGAAATAAATATCACAAACGCACAAGAACAAAAGACAATTTGTAGAGGAAATGAGAATTCACTAAAATATGGAGAAAGAATAAAAAAATATTGTGTTTTCATTATTGTTTAAATTGTCTAAATCACAATTAAGAGCTAACTATATAAAGGGAATGTTTCAAACCCTGTAAATAGAGTTATAGATGGAAAAGAATGCTGAAAATGCGTCCAAACGACAAAACGGGTTTGAGTTGGATAAATCGTCGCATGACCGCCAAGCAGGAAATGACTCCACCGCTAGAGCTGCAGGCTAGTGCCTAGTGAGCGCAAACACTTCTGTTTTGAGCGCTCGAGCGAGAGATGGGCGCTGAGCGGGAATGCACCGAAAATTCCTCCATGGTCCTTATCTTGACCGATTCAAGTCTAACACAAATTTTGAACTCCCAATTAAGCTCCAAAATTGAGTTTCGACTAGAATTGCCAAATAGGATTCCCAAATAGCATTCAAAATAAAATCTGGGTCACACCCTACTTCTAACAAATTCCATTTTAACACAAATTCCTTTGCTATGAACAAAATTTCAAAAATTCTCCACTTGAAGATAAACTCCACTGCAAGGAATAGACTTAACTCTTCATCAAAATCATCAAACAAAATTCTTCATCAAAATTTCCAATTGAAAAAATTATCACCTCTATCACAAAACCCAATTAGGGCAAACTTAATAACTATCAATTGAATTTCAAGCACATCTTGGTAGGATTACTTTGGGCACCAAAATTGCTCGAATTATCCCCACGAGCAATAAAAAATCACAAATGATTTAATAGTCACCAAACAGGGCGGAAACAAGCACTGTAACAGAATCATCACACATAACTGCTCTATAGAAGGTTCTTGGCTGGAATCAATACCTTCAACCACATTTAAACAAAAGCAACTAAATCAGCATCCCCGTGCCTATGTGGAGGCATAATATTTCTCTTGGGTCTATCTCTAGTATTTGAATACAATGGCACAGCTGGTAATGGTGGCAAAGCGAAATTATCCATAACTTTTGAAGTTGACTGAAAAGTTTTCTTCAACGTGGATCCCAAACTAACTCCAACCGTATTGAACCAAACTCAAAATCCACCCGAGTGCCTAAATTTTGCTTATGGATCTTCAAAGATTCTGTAGAACCATACGAAACAAATAATTGGGACATTCTCTGTCCCTTTATGACTAGATGGGCACCTTTACTAACTGTATTGACTCTACCTTCACCAATGTATTTGTATCCTTTCAAGTCAAAAGTACTCAAGGAGATAATCACATAATTGTTCTGATAATCACATCAAACATTTTAATTTTGACTCTTCCAATACCAATTATCCTATAAGGTGAATTATTACTCATTACCACAATACCTTTCAAAACTATTTCATATGTAGAAAATGAATCCCCATTGCGACACATATGAAAAGTGTAAGTTGTATCAAGAATCCAATCATCGTCAGGTTTGGAGTCGTCATCAGAAATAAGTAAAAGTTATTTATCATTGTAAGAATTTTCTGCAATATTGACTTCACTTGAAGTATCTGGTTGATTTCTCTTTTGATTAGCTGCAACCAAATTTTCTTTATTCTACAACTTATAGCATTCATGTATCATGTATCCATTCTTCTTGCGATAATTACAAATTTTATTATTAAAGTTAGACCTCAATTTGCCTCTCGCATAACCACCATCAAAAATAATTCAATTTCCATGAGTCTCAGATCCAACAAAATGTTTCATATTCTCTTTTAAAAATCGAGCATCACAAACTTCATCAATGGTTAGATTATCATGACTGTATAAGATCGTGTCTCTAAAAGATATATATGAAGCAGGCAGCGAACACAACAAAATCAAATCCTCTTCATTATATTTAACCTTCAGGTTTTCAAATCAGGGACAATTTCCTTAAAAATAGCTACAATGAGAATATAAACAATGCATCTGATGCAATTGGTTAGTTAGACTCTTTGTCATGTATAATTACTCCAATTTCAACCATAGTGCAACAACGGTCTTTTCCTTCAAAACGTCCTCAAGAATATTATTCGAAAGATAAAGATGAGCCTGTTATAAGGCCTTTCAATCCTTACGTTATTTTTCCTCGAACGTCCAAGTTTTGGGCATCTTGTCAAATCCCAACAACGCATAATCCAAATCCATCTGCCCGAGTACTGCTTGCATCTTTACACGCCACAACGAAAATTTCGTGTTGTGATCCAAAAGAAAAATATCATACTTCATGGTTGCCAACACAAAAAATAAAGTTTAGCTCTTGACTTGATTGAATCTCACTCTGATGCCAGTTTGTTGTGAAGATTGAGGATAAATATATGGCACAATATGAAGTAAATATCACAAACACACAAAAGCGAAAGACAATTTGCTGAGAAAATGAGACTTTACTAAAATATGGAGAAAGAATACAAAGACATTGTGTTTTCAATATTGTCTAACTTGTCTAAATTATAATGAAGAGCTAACTTTATATAGGGAATATTTCAAACCCTAAAAATAGATTTGTAGATGGAAAAGAATGCTGAAAATGTGTAAAAAATGCAAAACGGGCCTGGCCAGATGAATCGCCGACGGGCGCCAAGCGGATGGTAACTCTGCCGCGTAGACGATAGGTGAGTGCCAGCACTCCTATTGTCAGCACTTGAGCTGAAGATGGGCGCTCAACGAGAGAAAATGCACCGAAAATTCCTCCCTACTCCATATCTTAACCTCTTTAAGTCTAATACAAATTCGAAACTCTTAATTGGACTTTCAAATTGAATTTCAATTAGAATTGCCAAATGGACTTCAAATAGAATTCCCAAATAGAATTTAAAATAGAATTCGGACCACACCCTAATTCTAGCACAAATAATGAAAGAGACGCCATTATAGCAAGTACACACATCATAGTAATATATGAAGATTTTGAAAATGTAAGGATTATCTTTTCATTTTTGAATTTCGATGAATGACTCTATTTGACATTATGCCTTTATTGTAGGACACATCAACACACGACAAATTATAATGGAAAGAGTAGAAATGCAAACAAGGTGATTGTAAAAATTTATAAAATCTTATGTTATCTGCTGTTAGCATAAAGACAAAAGCCTTAGTTTTGGTCTTAATTGTTTCTAGAGACAAGTAACGTAATCTAATGCAAAATAGCATAATATAGATAAGTAACGAATTTATTTTGATTTCTCACTGTTTATAATATGAAGCGATACATCACGTTATGTCGATAGCTTATTCTTTTTTTTTTAACAATGACACCACTTATTGAAATATCTCTATTTTCAATATTTCAAATATTTGAACTTCTACTAGTATTTTCTAATTAGTTGTGTTTATATGTTTTTCAAGAATATATGCCTCCTAAATTGAACAATTCTCCTTATTTGCTCCATTTTTCCTTTTAGAGAATTTGGCTTGGAATCGATTGTCATCATGCTTCAAGCGTTTTATTGACATACAAAATATAAGATTAACGAATTGTCTTTCTAGAAATCAATTCGAGTTGGAGCATTTAAGCTTGATATGTGAGATATTTTTCATCTCTTTAGACAGCAAATGCATCTAAGTGAATTATTTTTCGACTTTCAGGTTCGAATTGTCTTTTACGATGATCTGGATAATATAATGATTTATTTGTTAATTATTTTTAGCTTCTTATCTTCTCTTCCCAATGTTGAGAAAACAATTCAATCAAATTGAAAGTCAACAAACCACGTTATAAAATATCTCCCATTAGGGTTTAAGATATTTTATAAATGTTCAAACTAAACTTGTATTCTCAACATTCTTTAATATCAATCTCATTGAACCTTGATTGAGCAATTATACATATATTGCACTTCCAAAAATCATTAGATGAAAAATATTGGACTCTGACCATAAAC